ATGTGTGCATGTTTTTATACTCCCAAAGTGCATAAGTTTTTGAAAGGAAAATATTGAGTCATTTTTTACTTTTCCCAGTTTTATTGAGTTTTAATTAACATATGCTGCTGCTAAGTCACTTCAGTCATGTCCGACTCTGTGCGACCCCATAGACAGGAGCCCACCAGGCTCCCCCGTCCCTGGGATTCTCCAGGCAAGAATACTGGAGTGGGTTGCCATTTCCTTCTCCAATGCATGAAAGTGAAGTCTCTCAGTCATGTCCGACTATTAGCAACTCCATAGACAGGAGCCCACCAGGCTCCTCCATCCATGGGATTTTCCAGGCAAGAGTACTGGAGTGGGTTGCCATTGCCTTCTCCAATTAACATATAACTTTGTGTTATTCCAAGATGTACAACATAATGGTTTGATAATATGTAAATATTGCAAAATGATTACCACAATAGGCTTAGTTAACATCAGTCATTTTACATAGTTGTAAATTTATTCTCTGATAAGAATTTTTATCTATTTTTATTCTACTCTCAGCAAATTTTAAATATACAATGCAGTATTGTTAAGTATAGTCAACACTGTGCATAACATCCCAGGACTTATTTATCTTGTAACTGGAAGTCTGTACCTTTTACCACCTTCATCCCTTTCCCCCACCCACAACCCTGCCTTTTTTTGCCTACCACCAATCTGTTCTCCATATCCATGAATTCATTTTTTTTTAAGAGTCCATGTATAAGTGACATCATACAGTATTATCTTTCTCTTTTTTTAACTTACTTCACTTAAAATTATTGTCCTCAAGGTCTATCCCTGTTGTCACAAATGGCAACTTTTCCTTTATGGCTGAATACAGTCCATTGTCTGTATAAACCACATTATCTTTATCCATTCATTCATTGATGGACACTTCAGTTGTTTCCATGTCTTGGCTATTACAAATAATTCTTTAGTGAATATGGGAATGCAGATATATTTTCAATATAGTGATTTCATGTCCATCAGAGAAGTACAGAGAAGTAGAATTGCTGGATCATATAGTAGTTCAATTTTTAATTTTTTGAAGAATCTCCATATTGTTTTCCACAGTGGTTTCAACAGTTCACACTCCCATCAATGGGAGCTCCACATCCTACCCAGCACTAGTTATTTCTTGTCTTTTTGATAATCACCATTCTAACAAATATGAGTTGATATTTCATGGTGGATAACTAGCATCTCTCTGATGATTAGTGATTTGAAAACTTTTTTATGTTTCTGTTGGTCATTTGCATATCTTCTTTGGAAAACAATTTTTTCCAAAGGTATTTTTTAGTTTCTCAATCCATTTTTCAGTCAGATTGTTAGTTTTTTCACTGAGTTTTGTGAGTTCTGCATGTATTTTGGATATTAACACCTCACCAGATACATTATTTGTAAATATTTTCCACCGTTCTGTAGGGTGACTTTTAATTTTGTTGATTGTTTGCAGTGAAGAAGCTATTCAGTTTTATGTAATTCTGCTTGTTTATTTTTGCTTTTATTGCCTTTACTTTTAGTGTCAGATCTAAAACATTATTAAGACCAATGTCAAGGAGCTTACACACTATGTTTTCTTCTAGGAGTTTCATGGTTTCATTTCTTATATTCAAGTATTTCATCCATTCCAAGTTGATTTATATATATGTTGTAAGACTTATGTATAGGATTTATGTATATGATGTTCAGTATCATTCTTTTGCATATGGCCGTCCAGTTATCCCATCACCATTTATTAAAGAGACTATCCTCCCCTCATTGTATTTTCTTGACTCCTTTGTCATAAATTAGTTGACCATACATATGTAGGTTTACTTCTGGGCTCTAAGTTCTGTTGGATTATGTGTCTGCTTTTGTGCCAGTAACATACTGTTTTGATTAATGTAGATTCGTAATATACTTTCAAATCAGGAAGTATGATACTTCCCACTTTCTCCTTCTTTTTCAAGATCTCTTTGGCTATTTGGAATCTCTGTATTTCCATACAAATTTTAGGATTGTTTTTTCTATTTCTGTGGAAAAAAATGCCATTGGAATATTGATAGCTATTGCATTGAATCTATAGATTGCTTTGAATAATATGAACATTTTCACAATATTCTTCCAATCCATAAACACAGAATATCTTTCCACTTATGTGTGTGTTTTTCAGTTCCTTTCACCTGTGTCTTACAGTTTTTAGTGTACGGGTATTTCACCTCTTTGGTTAAGTTTATTCCTTGGTGCATGCTCACGCATGCTCAGTTGCTCAGTTGTGTCTGACTCTTTGTGACTTCATGGACTGTAGCCCACTAGGCTCCTCTGTCCATGGGAATTTCTAGGCAAGAATACTGGAGTGGGTTGCCATTTCCTTCTCCAGGGGATCTTCCCAGCCCAGGGGTCAAATGTATGTCTCATGTGTCTCCTGCATTAGCAGGTGGATCCTTTACATGCAGTTGTAATTGGGATTCTTCCCTTAACTTATTTTTATGATAATTCATGTGAGCTGATAAAAATACAACTGATTTTTTTACATCGATTTTGTATCCAGCAGCTTTACTGATTATGTTTATTAGTTCTAAAAGGTGTTTTTTTTTGTGGACTCTTTATGGTTTTCTATATATAATATGTCACTGCCGATAGAGATAGTTGTACTGCTTCTTTTCCAATTTGGATGTCTTTTTTCTCTTGCCTAATTTCTATGGCTAGGACTTCAAGTACCACGCTGAATAAAAGTAACGAGAGTCAGAATCCTTGTCTTGTTCCCAGTCCTTTTTTTTTTTTTTTTTTTAATTTGTTGAGTGGCATCTACTCTTTTCCATATAGTTGGAATTTCCAATTTGATGGCTTCTGGTTAAGCCAGTTATGGTAATCACATCTCCCCTACCACAGATGGGTTTAGAAATAGACATGTGACCCAGTTCTATCCAGTGAAACTTGGGGTAATATGGGATAATATGCTATTAGTAAGAGACTTCTGGAAAAGATCATATCTCTTTTTTTAAAAATTAAGATAAAGGAAAAGAGGGTATGCTGATTCTTAGAACTACTGTGTTGGGAATTTTTTAATTGACTTCATGTTATAGTAAATATTTAGGTATTACAATTTAATTTATAATTCAGTGACTGGTTAAACAGACATTTTTAAAGGGAGAGAAGATGTCAGTTTAAAAACAATCAGTAGAAAATATATTTAGAAACAAAAGAAAATTCAGATACCAAGTTTGGGGGTTTTTGTTTTGGAGACGGTGGGTGGGTGGGGGTTGACTGTGCCATGCAGCATGTGGTATCTTAGTTCCTTGACCAGGGATTGATCCCATGCCCCCTGCAGTGGAAGCTTGGAGTCTCAGCCACTGGACCACCAAGGAAGTCCTTGTTTTTGTGGGGTGTTTTTTTTTTTTTAAACAAATAGGGATATATTTGTCTCAGACGTCAAGAAGTTTTGGAGGTAGCTACTTAGTGATTCTTCAGAGGCTCCTTCGTCATCCTTAGTTTTCATTCTCAAGCTTGTTACTTCATGGTCAGGAGCGCTGCACCTCTAAAGCAGGAGAAAGGGGAAAGGCAGTGGGCAAAAGGGACATGCACGTTAAGTCTGCTGCTTTCTCAGGAAAACAGTAGCTTTCCTGGAAGCCCCATGCTGAAATCTGGTTTACTGTGTTTTATTGGCTACTACTTCCAATCTGTCTCCTCAAATTTAGTTTCAACTTAATTCATTAATTTTTCTACGTTGTGTTTATTTCCTAACACTGGAATGTTAGACCCACTAGGTGAGACATTTAATTTCTTTTTCCAAAATTAGGACTTCTAGTCAAATATGTAAATCTGTGCTAAGTTCATGCAGATCAGTATTTTTATTTGAACCAGACATCATGGTAATTTTTAAATGAGTTTTCTAGTTCTTATGTGAAGTTTCTATCTTAGCAAGAAGCTTTTCTCTCTTAGCAAGAATAGAAGACCTGTTGAACATTTCTCAATTATAAGAATTACAAACGACTTTTTTTCCAGAGTTCCTTTCAAGAAAGGAGACAGTCCATTAGAGGAAAAACTGAGCCGTGTTTAAGTTTTATATCTGATATTATGTCCAGGAGTTATTTGCACAGATTTAGCTATCCCTGAGTTGTATGGTGAATTCTGTTTCCTAACATATCCTCCTGTCCCCACCTCTGTCCTATTCACAGACATGCTTATTCTGTTATTTAGGTAAATCATTAAAGTAAAAGTTAAAAATTTAAGAGAGAAAAAAAATGTGGGGTTGAAGACGCCTACTACAGACAAGGTAGAATGGACTTTAGGAGTCCTGATGCACTTTAGGATGGACTTTAGGATGTGGTGGAGCAGGGAGTGGCCTCTTTATAAAGGAGACAGGCTGGAATGCAGACTTCAGACTTTGCTGGTGGGCTACAGTCCATGGGGTTTCGAAGAGTCGGACACGGCTGGGTGCCTAAGCACAGCACAGGAGGAGTTAGGCCTCGACTCACAGTGCTCTTCATTTCAGGATTCTGGATCTGGGATAGACAGGAAAAAATAGTTTCCAATGCTGCTGAGGTGAATGCTAGCTTAAGTTCATCTTAGTAATTGAAGAAAATAAGTGAGGTTTATATTTGTTTTACCTACCGTATTTTTACCTACTGTGACTGGAGATGTCACGGATCACAAGGGAATAGTTGAAGTTTGTATGCTTTAGTATTGTTTTGAAAGACAGACCTATATAAATCATTGATTTCACTAGTATTTATCACTGTCCCATTTTTATAATATGAAACAGGGTGTCTCGGTACATAACTTTTATTTTTCGTGATCTTATTATGCAGGAGAGGATTGGGAAACCAGATTATTTGATTTCTGCATCTGAACCAGGGAAGAAGAAAACCCACTAGTAAATCTAATAACTACCTTGCCACAAAATTTTAATCCAGTTTTTTTTTGTTGTTGTTATTTACAATTATTGTGGACTGTACTGCATGTTGAGGCTAATTGGAAACAGTGACCAGATTCTTAATCATTATCAGGAAACTGCATTCAGAGAATGAGAAGAACACCCCCACTGGATGAATTGCAGCCACCACCATATCAGGATGACAGTGGTTCTCCCCACCTCTCATGTACGCCCTCAGAAATTGGGGACAGTAAATGTGAATTTTCCCACTGCAGCAACAGTCCAAGATGCTCATATAACAAGTGTCCGAGTGAAGGAAGCGCAGGTCACGAAATAGAAAGCTTTCATAACAAAGGATATGAAGAAGATGTTCCGAGTGACAGCACTGCAGTCCTGAGCCCTGAAGTAAGTAAAAGCACGTAGAATATTCAAATGGCAATAAAAATAGGTGTGTTATACTTTCGAAGTCTTTCCATGTTCTAAAAAGCATTTGTTTTGATCTTCCTATGATGATGGAAACTGTAAAGTTAATCTAGAGGTTTTCATAAGGCAGTATTTGCTTTCTTCTAGATTGCAAGTTTTTACAAGTTTTGTCCCATACAACATTTCATTATACTGCAGGGTGTCAGTGTTCTTACTAGTTGAATTTTTATCTGTTGCCAAAATGAGATAATGAAAGTAGAGCTCTGAATACAATTTCCTTAAATTTTTTCTTACATAAAAATTTCTAAGGACACTTTTTATCTGTTACTACTTTTCTACTATTTCTAATATTATTATTATATAGTATCTAAAATTCTACATTGGTATTATTAGTTTAATATAGCAGTAGTTCATGATTTTCCACAAAGAATATTTCTCCATGTTCTATACCTGAGCAAATTTGTAATAACTGTTTTATAGACTTGGAAACCAAATATCTAGCCAAGAAGTTAACAGTGAAGCCTGGATTGTGGAACTAACTAACAACAGTAATAGCAATCACCAATTTTCCTAGGAATTTTGCTGTAATTTTTACACAGTCAGCTCATTTAATTCTAACAACATCACCTTCAGGAAGTTGTTATTTCCATTTTAGAAAAGAAAGCATTAAAACTCAGAGAATTAAGCAGTTTGCCCAGTATAAGGAGATCTTAAATGATAGAACTGTAATTCAAACCCAGGTGTGCCTGACTGTAAAAACAGCGCTCTAAAAAGCTTTGCTGCGTTGCTCCCCTTCACCTGAATCATAGTGTGGGAAGTTACTCTGAAGCATTGGTACCCTCCAAGTACACCTCCAGGCAAGCAATCCCAGAGGACTCACAGACCGAATTAAGATGCTCAGATTACCCTGGTGCGTGCGTGTGTGTGTGTGTGTGTGTGTGAAGCTATTTCAGATATAAAGCAAGAAGTAAGAGGAGCAAGAGAAGGTAGGAGAACACAGTCAGGATAGGATACCAGTAAGTACAGGCGGCAGGACCACACCGTGTGAGTCCCATTCTACATGATGTCCTTCTGTCCAGCCTTACTGTTTCTGATCGATTAGCATTCCCTAATTATGGCATGTTAACAGGGACGGAAGTTGAGATTTGCACCAGGGTTCCCAGGGCCATGCTGGTTTTACGGGAGACATGCAGGGGAGGATCCTCCTGGCCACCGTAGAAACTCGCAGTTACTCTACTAGACACAGATTTTACCTGCATTTCTTAAATGGAACACATGGTGACTTCATCATAGCTTAGGCTTTCTGTCCCTTTCCATAGCTAATAGTCATTTGTTCTATCCTATTTTCTGTTTATTCTGTCTTGAGCATATCTTGCAAGTGATTAACTTAGTTATTATCTATATTTACCACATCTGAATTCTGCTTGTGTCTCTCAAGTTACTTCCTTACCTGTTATCTGTAGTTAACAGAGCCTATGAGTTTTGCCCGTATTTCAGGAGCTTGCTCTCTGTGTTAATACTTATAAGGAGTCTCCCCTATCCTGCTTGTATTTATGTCTTCTGCAGCAAAACTGAATATATTCAAACTATAGCAAATGCATGTTACCCGAATACGTCAGTGCTGATAGCCTGTGTTAGTATGAAACTGATTCTTGTGTCTTTTCCAGTTTATTTTGCTTACCACCATTCCTTTAATAAATATTACTTATCAATTAGAAAATTCTTACCTTCCTGTTGGTTTAGTCCAGGATCCAGCTCTCTTAGAGCCTTTCTATCTCTATACACAGTTGAACTGGGAGAGGACCAAGGAGGAATCACAAGGCTTCCCAGGCAAGGAGTTCATTAACTGTATTGATAACCTGTTGCTAGCTAAAGATTATTCACAACTTTTCACCAAAAGAATTATTCACCAAGAGAAACAAAATCCAGAAATAGCTTTCTGGGGCTTTATAAACATTTTCATTGCCTTGACAATCTTAGCTGTCATGACACTAGTTTAGAAAATATTTAATCGAATAAATAATGTAATTAATCATCTATAATTATGAAGTGGCATGCATTAAAACATCTTACTCTAAACTGTAAGTGTAAGAGAGTAAGAATGTTTTTGTACCGATCTAATCATATTGCATAAAACACTGAGTTCCCCTGTGAGAGTTTGTTCCTGTTCCTAAAGAATTCTCCTTCACTTGCCATCTTTTCTTCCATACGTGATGGCAGTTGGATCATCATAGGTAGACACGGAGGTTTATAAGGTTGAAGGCTTGTGTCCTTTTGATTCTCTGCTGCATCCTGCCACTTAAAATACAGCCAGGCACATAGTAGTTGCAATAGTTAGGCACATGTTAAGGTCCTATTGGGCTTCCCAGGTGGATCAGTAGAAAAGAATCCACCTGCCAATGCAGGAGGTGCGGGTTCCATCCCTGGGTCAGGAAGATCCCCTGGAGAAGGAAATGGCAACCCACTCCAGTATTCTTCCCTGGGAAATCCCATGGACAGAGGAACCTGGCAGGCTACAGTCCAGGGAGTTGCAAAACATCAGACTCGACCGAGTGACTAAACAACAAAGGTCCTAAAACAAGGAGACAAATACAACGTCAAATACAAAGCCATGGAAGATTGCCTTTCATTTGACCGTTCGACAACATCATCCATCAGCCCAGTTCATGCTTTTTAGTCACTGTCATTCCCTAGGGTGTTGACCTAATACACACATCCTCTGTGTGTATCTGCTTGTGGGAAGAGTGACAGAGAAAGAGAGTACAGAGCGGGTCGTTTGTTCTGCAGACCTGATCTGGTTTATACAGAGCTCTGTCTCTTTCCCATTGGTTGGAGCAGAGTTACATAGCCATATCAGCTATCAGTCAGTTCAGTCGCTCAGTCGTGTCCGACCCTTTGCGACCCCATGAACCGCAGCACGCTAGGCCTCCCTGTCCATCACCAACTCCGAGAGTCCACCCAAACCCATGTCCATCAAGTCAGTGATGCCATCCAGCCATCTCATCCTTTGTTGTCCCCTTCTCCTGCTGCCCTCAGCCTTTCCCAGCATCAGGGTCTTTTCAAATGAGTCAGCTCTTCATATCAGGTGGCCAAAGTATTGGAGTTTCAGCTTCAGCATCAGTCCTTCCAATGAAAACCAGGACTGATTTTCTTTAGGATGGACTGGTTGGATCTCCTTGCAGAAAGCGCTCAGCTTTCTTTATAGTCCAACTCTCACATCCACATATGACCACTGGAAAAACCATAGCCTTGACTAGACGGACCTTTGATTTGTTAAAATACTTGAAGGGGTGAAGTGGTATAGCTGAAAAGTCTGAGAGCTGAATTTGGTACTATTCAATAACTAGCTGAAACTGTTACATCCCAGATAGTTAGATTAGCAGGAATTTGAGACAACTAAAGTAGGTACAGTTTCTTTTACTCTTATAATTAAAATACACAGTTTAACACTTTTTTAACTTTTGAAGTATCCTGCCATTTTCAACAGTGATTAGTATTAAAAATAATATATACTTTGAAATTCTAGTTAAAAATTGAAATAGCGTGTGTGTTATGGAAAATAAATATTTGACTTTAAATATTTTGGGGCTTTTGTGTTTGTACTTTCATATTTCACCTTTCCATTGACTTTTAAGCCTAAATATGTTAACGTTCTAATACAGGTGGGGGCATTTGGGGACACACCTGAAATTGGAACCAAATTTTTCAATAGCATTTTTCTTTTATTTATGTTCTCTTTCTCTCCATCTTGATATTGAGCTGTCAGTTGTATTGTTTATAATGTTAAAAATTTAGCTTATTTTTTTCACAAAAAGAACAGAGATATGCATTGAAATATATATTTTCCAATTTCTCACAATAAAAACATACAGCCAACTTTCTCAAAATAGTAATGGTGACTATTCCATGTCTTTATTGTATTTATTAAGTTTTTGAGTTTAACTTACGTTATTCTGCCTCCATAGAGTAAATTTTGATTGTAGTTGGCTGTTGATTATTGTTACTTTCTTTATGATAGCAAATCAAAATAGTTTTCATATCACCCTTCTAAAGAAATACCAGGTACTTATTTACATGTTGAATTAAATAATGGAGTTAAAAACTGAAAACATTTAAATTTGCTTTTCTTAGGATGTGTCAGCTCAAGGATCATCTTCACAGCTTCCTAAACCTTTTGATCCTGAGCCAGAAGCTAAATATGGCACCCTGGATGTGACTTTTGACTATGACTCACAAGAACAGAAGCTTCTGGTAACAGTGACAGCTGTCACAGATATCCCAACATATAACAGGACAGGTGGCAACTCATGGCAAGTACACCTTGTTCTTCTACCTATAAAGAAACAGAGAGCAAAAACCAGCATCCAGAGAGGACCATGCCCTGTCTTCACAGAAACATTCAAATTTAATCATGTTGAATCTGAGATGATTGGAAATTATGCAGTTCGGTTTAGACTGTATGGTATACACCGCATGAAAAAAGAAAAGATTGTGGGGGAAAAGATTTTTTATTTAACAAAATTGAATCTTCAAGGGAAAATGTCATTACCTGTGATATTGGAACCTTCTTACAATCATTCTGTGAGTATCTGCTCAAATAGCCCAAATACAGTTTATGTCATGGTATATAATATACACAATTTTTAAAATCTATGATCAACCCACCAACTTTCTCAGCCTACTTTTTCCCATGGTAATCATACCTACAAAATTTCTAAGTCCTAGATAGGTAGGTATAACTTTTTCTCATCTATAAAAGTTGCCCTTGAAGATTATATATGATTTATTTTATGTGTTTTATGTTCACAGAGCCTGACCTGATGTCTTACATATTTATTCCTTCATTAAACATGTATTAGATGATTGCTTATAATGACACCATCTGAACTCTTTAGAGAATTTATGGCTTTCTTTCCATGTTAAATCTAGGTTGATATGTTAACAACTATCTAGCCCCATATCTTATTTGATATACTATAGAAATTATTTGTTCTTACAGAATATATGCTGCTGCCTCGGTCATAACTGATTGTCTTTCCAGATCGGCTGTGAAATTATCTTTAAGGGTTCAAAAAAACCTTGCCCTTGTTATACTTTCTACTTTTTTTTTAAACAAAGATTTTTACGGTGTTTCTGGGAGAATATTTGTGTTTAGTCCTTTTCTCTTTTTTCCTCCAGGTTCTGATCACATACCCTGTCTGTCTGTCTGTCTCTCTTCGTATTTTAAACTAAATTGCCACAAGGCATTGCAGGTCACAGGAGAGCTGCACAACTTATTTAAACCAGGAAGATATACTATGTCACATAGCTATTTAGATTATGTGAAAATCCATGATATGCTATAAATAGAAATTTTGAATTATATTTAGTCCTCTTACAATTGAATAAGTATTTTTACCCATAAATACACAGGTTTGGAATAAATCTGTGTATTAAAATGAAAGTATACTATTTTAGAGTTGTTTCTAAGCTTTTAAATGTCAAGCTTTAAGTCCAGGATTAGTCTAATTGAACTTCTGCCAGGCAGCATTTGAAGGTCTCATAGGACCTTCATCCCCAGTAGAGCCATACCTTTTCAACTAGATGATTTCAGCATTTTTAAAAACCAAAAGGTGATAATTCAGTATATCTCTATGGGTTTTTAAGATAATATTTATCCTTTATTGGGTAAATTGATAGCTTGTTTTCACTTTAAATTTTAGAATTACTGTAGATGCCAGCAGTTTATCAGAAGGGAGCAGGGGAAAAAATGCAAGCACTATTTCAGAGGGGAAAAGATAACTTTTTAATAAAATTAAATATTCTGTAATTCTTACTGTGATTTTTTAAACTTTCTCATTATTTGGTCTGAGTGGTTACTAGTTAATCTGTGGAAAATGCATTCTTATATATAGAAATACCTGATTTATATTAGAAGAGAATGCCTGTACCATCAAGAGGTATGTATTTTGTGTTTCTTTATTTGCTTTGACTTTTCTGTTCCCAATTCTGTATTAATTATATACTTTTCACAAAGAAAATGAAGCCATACAAAATAATATGTTTTTTTTCCTCTGGCCAAACTAAATGATTTCTGTACACACCTCCATTACATGTATTGGCCTAAATTTAATTCTGTATTTCTGTATGTCTGACAACCAGTACAATTAATTTCTGTGGAGTGTTCACAAAAAGAAAAAAGTGCTAAGTAGATAGCATCTAAGACATAACGTTTAAATCTGAAGAAAACTTATCTTCTGCTCTTAGAGAATTTTTTCTCTGCGTTGCCATGCTTCTCAAAGTCTCTGCTGCTTCTTAAAGTCTGTGCCTGTGTTGAATTGTTACTCTCTTGTCTTCTTTTTTTCTCCACCTGCTCGAAATCTCATTGCTTGTTTTTGGCTTCTGTGCCAAAAAGAGCTAGTGTTTGACAATTGCGAAGTTAAGACTCCAAATTCTGTCTATCAGTTTTCTTGTCATAAAAATAAAAGACTAAAAGAATGTCTACATTCTGGCTGTTCTCGAGTGTTAGTGTTCTCTTTGCTGAAGTTCTGATATTAATTGTATAAAGAAATCATGTGATTGTAGATCACCTAGGTGATTTTAGCTCCACTTTTGTAAGATATAATAGTATATGAGTGAGAGGTACTTTCATAATTAAAGATTTATTCTTAGAGCTTTTGAATAATTTCTTCTTGTTGTTGAAAGAATATTATTAGCCTTTTGGCAAGGGAAAGTTCTAATCTAGTCAAAAAATTTACAAACTTTGGTTAAAGCATATTTGAAGCTTAATTACAGTCTCATGTCCATGAGAATTCTGCATAAAGAATTTAGTTTTATAGCTAATTTTTCAGAAACTGATCCAAACAATACATTGAGAGAAAAATGACCAGTATCACCAAACTAACTTTCTGAGAAGTAAACCCTGAGTTTCCTTGAGGGTAAGATTTAAGTTTAACATTAAGATAAGTATATAATTTGATCAGTGAACAGTAGAAAATATACGAAGGGTTAAAAAGCACATGTTCTTCCTACTAACTAGTTGGGTGTGTTTGGATAAGTTATCTAATAATATTGGGTATCAGGTTTCTTGTTAGTAAAATGAGAGAATTAAAAGAAATGATCTCTAGGGTTCTACCCATCACTATGTTCTCTGATTCTACTAATATATATTGGGGGGGAGTTAATGATTTTTAGGTGAGTTTTGTATGCTTAGTATGTGATGTTTGATTGTGGACATTTGTTATGTTTTCTCACTTCTTCATGATTTTTCAGCAACCTTCTTATGTCTGAGGAAGTCCCAACTACTGCTCCCCCGTCCCTCAGTTAGGCTGTGTAATTCACTTTCCCAGTCTCACTGGTAGCTGGGGCAGGAGGCCTGTTCACTAGATGCTCCGCTCATACTCACCTCCAGGAAACCTCGGCACAGACTGAACAGAGAAGCAGATGCTACACTCAGTTTGTGTTCTCGTGAGGCTGATGGTGGAGGAACCTGACATCGAGTCAGTAGTAATTCTGAAATAGTTCTGGTGTTGCAGAAATTGTATTGGTGCTGAACAATGTTAAGTAATAATTGCAGAAAAGAAAAGACCTTGGCATAAGTATGCAGTAGGAGCAGTAGCCGATTTCCTCCCCAGCTCAGGTCTGCAGTATGGTTTTAGATTTTGCTCTTGAGGAGCTTAGCCATAAGCCTGGTTCTCTCATCACCCCAGTCCCTTTAATAAATTGCTGTTTCACTGAGAGTTAGCTTCCAGTGATTTCAAATAAGAACCCTGACTGGAAACTTTGACATAGCCATGTGGTGTAGTATTTACTTGCAACAGTCATTTCTTAAGCTATACTCAGTAGTTAGTGTTGCTAGTTACCCTTCCTACCATGGTGTGAAAGTGGAAGTGTTAGTTGCTCAGTCGTGTCTGACTCTTTGCAGCCCCTCTGACGGTAGCCTGCCAAGCTCCTCTGTCCATGGAATTGTCCAGGCAAGGATACTGGAGTGGGTAGCCATTCCCTTCTCCAGGGGATCTTCCCGACCCAGGGATTGAACGCAGGTCTGCATTGCAGGCAGTCTTTACCACTTGAGTCGCCAGGGCAGCCCACTATGGTGTATCCCTCTCATAATTTGTACTTATCTCTTACTCTCAACTTGTTTATATGACATTCTTTCCTTGTAGCTCAGTTGGTAAAGAATCCACCTTCAATGCAGGAGAACTGAGTTAAGTTCCTGGGTTGGGAAGATCTCTTGGAGAAGGGAAAGGCTACCCACTCCAGAATTCTGGCCTGGAGAATTCCCAGTCCGTGGGGTCACAAAGAGTCAGACATGCCTGAGTGACTTTCACTTTCCTTGTGTATTAATATAACCCCAGTTACTTTCTTCACATGCATTTTTGGTACTGTATAGTAATCTCTCTATTACAGTTGTCTGAAATAGCTTCATCCCTTTTCTCCCCTGAAGTTTTATTTCTTATTCAACTTATTAAATTTCTTAATAATATTATATGTATTCATTATGATTTATTAATAATTAGACTTTATTGTTTCTTTCATAAACATGCAACCCTTCCTATACAGACAGTACTTAATTAGTATAATCTATGTACAGTGGGAGACCTGGGTTCGATCCCTGGATCGGGAAGACCCCCTGGAGGAGGGCATGGCAACCCTTTCCAGTTTCTTGCTGGAGAATCCCCATAGACAGAGGAGCCGGGTGGGCTACAGTCCTTGGGGTCACAAAGAGTTGGACACAACTGAGCGTCTAAGCACAGCAGTGGGCAGCTGAGATGGAATAAAAGGTAAAGACACTGGAGATGGACCAGTTGGTCAAAGGAGGCCAGGTTCTTGGATGGGTTATCCCCATGAGACTCATAAAAGATGGTGGCAGAAGTTGAAGTATAAAATAGGATCAAATCAAGGATTGTGATTCTCAAGAAACAAAGAGAAAATGATCAGGGAGGGAGTGAAGAGGAAATGTATTGGACAGAATAACTATGAAGACTGATGTGCTCCTTAAAGGAAGATTGTTGTCCTTTTCCATGATTTTAGAGGAACAGTGTTTGCGAAAGCAGCAGAAAACTTTGCTCCCTGACTCTGAGGCACTTTAGGTATGAGAGAATAACCAGAGTGAAAAGACTGTAGAGAATGATACACTCTCAGGGAAGAATTGGAATTCAATTAAAGGTGTTGAGGGTTCAGAGAAGAAACTCAAGTTCTGGAGGAGTTTATCATAAATCAGGAGCACCCAGAGGCCCAGTGGGGAGATTCTGAAGAGGAGGAGCATGATGGAACTTCGTGTTGGCAAGGAAGTGCCAAGAATACGTGAGTATATTGGGTTGGCCATAAAGTTCATTCGAGTTTATGGAAAACAGCAAACCAACTTTTTGACCAACCCAATAGAATGAATGTTAAAGTAAAAGAGATGGCAGTATCATCAGGGGGTTGCCTTCATTTACATCCGGGAATTGGTGATGGACAGGGAAGCCTGGAAGGCTGCATTCCATGGAGTTGCAAAGAGTTGGACACGACTGAGCAACTGAACTGAACTGACACTATACCAAAATGTCATTCCCAATCATAATTTGACGAGCTAGTCTTGTTGGAGCTCAGATGGTCAAGAGTCTGCCTGCAATGCAGAAGACCCGGGTTTGATCCCTGAGTCGGGAAGATCCCCTGGAGAAGGAAATGGCAACCCACTCCAGTACTCTTGCCTGAAAAATCGCATGGATGGAGGAGCCTGGCAGGCTACAGTCCACGGGGTTGTAAATAGTCAGACACAACTGAGCGACTTCACTTAATCATAATTTGAGTCTATTTAAATCTCAAATTTCCTTAAAAGTCTAATTTAAATACAATCTTTATGAAAATTTATTAGATTATTTCCAATATAATTTAAATGAGTTGATCTTTCTGTC